TTCAAGATCGTATTGCTTGTAATTTTCACGCAACTCATCCATATTTCATCTATATAACTAAGTGTATTGATGTGGTGATGATGGTGGTTTAATCGTTGCTGAAACATGATTAAAGTCGCGTTGGTTCCATTGTTATTCATGAGATGGACTAGATTATTTTAGGAGATGTCTAAGTACAAATTGCATACTATTGTGCGCCTTAATAATTTTGTGATATAATTGTTTCAAGGAAAATATGCATCCTAAGTGGGAGAATTTCCTATAATGATATGAGCCACATATTTTACAATAATATAAGCTATTAGATTATGTGGACTAATTGAAAGTGATCCAAATTAGGAGTCCAAAGATGTCTTTTTTGATATGAAACTAAATGGGCGGAAACCAAATTCTAACTCACCTTGTGTTTTATGGGAACCCATGTTGACTAGTATATAAGGAGCTACTTAGAGGTTGTGGTCCCCAATGCACCAAGACCAACATAAACACATATTCTCCCCATCAGGAATATGTAAGGATTCCCGTCACTGGACTACGGAAGCTTGGTTGAGGCAGGTCACAGTACCTCTCGGATTGTGCTCTCGAGGTATCGCTCGCTAGCAGATTGTCCTATGTTTTCCGCATCAAGACCCAGACGTTCAAACGACTGAAATCTGAGTATTCTTATTATTGAACTTTAATGATGTAAGAAGATGATTTTTAGAAAATTGTATATATGTTATGTTAATTCTTTCAGCGTCACGATGCTCTCCGTTGATGGATAAAGGAAGAAAAAAATGTCACCCCTCGGTAAAAGCAACCAACCGTAGTTTGAGCCATAAATTTGAGCACCCTCGAGATTGAGCGGAGCATTAATCCATTTGGTTTTGTTGTATACAGGGGAGTAGAGCTCACAACAAACATTATTGTTAGTATCCATCTAGCAGTTGTATAGCAATAGAAGATGGGAGTTGACGATGTGCATGATGCATGGGAGCATCTATGTTCCTAACTTGAGGTGAAGGCATGGAGTTCCATCGACGATCTACCCCTCGCAAATTTCCAAGGGAAGCTCCGACTACTATTTGTTTTGTTGGCAGCTCCTCTAGACCATTGACACACTATCGTATATCTCATAACTGGTTCCATGCCTCCTAAAAATAACCATAGATACAGTTCATATACATCTCCCTAACTCAGAATTACTAAGAAGGTCAGAAAAATTATCCTAAGAAACTCCAAAGCTTTCCACAAAAAACTTTGTGCTTCTCTACAATCCTAATTACATTGCACTATTCAAGAGTTCAAGTAGGGATTACAATGTATCGGATTGGGGTTGGTAGTGCATATACATTATCTTACTCAAAATAGTTTGGATTTTAGCTATACACCTACACATGCCTATATAAGAATGAGGTAGACTATGTAAAACATGCTCATATCCGATCAGGTTCGAGTATCCACGACTAACCATGGATAATTATTTCTTTTTATAACTTCAACCAACGTATTAAAAATTAGGATTTTACACATATACTAACATAATATAAGTGAAAAATTAAAATAATAAATTACGGGTAAAATACCTTGGATACCACATAAGTTTGAGAATTGGGGTAGACATACCACTTAAATTTGAATAAGGAGTCGGGTACCATTAAAGTCGAAAAAGTGTGCATCCGTCTACGTTTCCATCCAAACCAAACTTTAGTTACTTTTGGTACCCAAAACTTTTAAAAGCATTCAAAACTATATTTCAACAAGTTTTATCTAATATAAAAATTAGAAAAATCATTTGAACATACGATTACTAATTACCTAATAAAATAGATAAATTAGTACAGATATTAAATGAATATTAAGAAAATTATAAATATACTAGAATATAATAATAAATATTTAAAATAGAATATCTATTTAAATACCCTAATTCAATTAGAAGCACCATTAGAAATAGTTAAAATAGAACCTAATAGATCATCCATACATCAAAACCAAAGAAAGATAAATGAAACACTATCATAAGGAATAAACATTTTTCAGTAATTGAAAAACATTTAGAACGAAAAGAGACGGGAAGTAACCGATTAATAAATGAACTATAAAAGCTACAGCATTCAGTAAAAAAATGTGTCCCTCTACACATTGAAGTGCTTGGGAGCTCGATAGGAAGTCTAGAAAACCAAATTTGAACCTGATCAAAAGGCTATGCCAAAACCGGGAAACTGCCTGAAAATGGCTTACAAAGCTTTAATGAAGTGCCTTGCCGAGAAGCTAAAGCCCCTGATGCCGGCATTGGTCCATGAAACGAAGGGTGGTTCCTGCCAGCTCAGCTCTGGTAATCAAATCTTATCCCAAATTCATCTTAAATGCACGAACCAGCCACCCTTCGTGTGTTTTTATTACGCCTCCTGCTGCTGCATTGCCGCTTGGTGGATTAACAGATCCATCCGTGTTCAAACAGAACCAATCCTATGGCGGAGGCTTCCATTGAATCAGCTGCCTCACACGAGCCAGTTCTCATCCATGCTTCTCGAATTAAGCTCCCAAGTAGACTTCACAAGCACGTTCCCAGACTTCGAAATATGTATGTTTTTCTACAAAGGCAAGGCGTTGAATGAAATATTGGATATCTAGAAGGCTTCAAACAAAAGGCTCGAAGTTGCTACAAAGTTGTTTTCTGACGGCTTGCTTGTGGTAGAGAGCAGTTTACGTCGTAGCAACTTCGAGCCTTTTGTTTGAAGCCTTCCATATATCCAATCTTTCATTCAATGTCTTACCTTTGTAGGCAAACATACCTACTTTAATTTTGTAAAGGCCCCTGGACTCGACTCTCATCCATGCTTCTCGAATTGAGCTCCAAAGTAGGCTTCACAAATACGTTCCCATACTTGGCCATTTTCAGGCAGTTTCCCAGTTTTGGCATAGCCTTTTGATCAGGTTCAAAATTGGTATTTTGTACTTCCTATCGAGCTTCCAAGCACTTCAATGTGTAGAGGGACACTTCAGCATCACAACAAACTATTAATCTCCATTTTTTATCAAGCCAATTCTAACATATGAATCTCCAAAGTAGGCACCATGAAATTGTTTTTACACTGAAACAACATATTAGGTTGACCTAATCCTAACTGAGATCGACAAAAAAGTGCAAGTTACAGGATATGCAAGGCACCATAGGAGCACTCTATAATATTAGAGAATTAAAAGGAGATTTAACATGGAAAATTAGACAACATTACCATGATGTAAGAGAACTAAATATAATATTCTCATATTATTTTTATCGAGATAGAATTCATAAGATATATTTATTTCAAGAAATTATTTAATTATAAGAACACATAATGATAATTGAAAATACTTATAATAATAATAATAATTAATTCTAAATTTTATATTCAAAAATTGATTTGGTATCAACTATTCAAAAGAGGATTCCAATTAAACAATAAAAAATTCTGTTTTTCATAAGTCCAAATGGTTTTTTTACAATAAGAGAAGTAGAAAGACCAATTATGAAATTTAGAAAATGGAATATTCCAAGAATTCTGTCAACTTGAACGCAATGCACTTAGCAGTAAACATAAGTGGTACCGGGTGCACATATAATAGATTTCAATGGTACGCGATGCACTATTCTTAGTTAAGTCGTATAGCTCTCTCAATTCTCATACTTAAGTGGTACCCGAGATATTTTACCCAATAAATGAATCAAATGAAGAAAATTAGTTAACAATACAATTTTATGAAAATATTATATATGTATCATAAATAATAATCATTTTAAACAAAATGTGTATAATGTGGCGGGTTCGTGTTGGATAGTAAGAAAATCATGTCCACCCATCATCCATAATATTCGGATTCAGGTTTTACTCATACCCATTATAAATATTTTGGGTTTGGAATTTTACCCACCAAATAAGTTGGATTATGGCGGATATCCACAAATATGGTTATTTTTTACACTAAATACAAGCTGATAGAATTTAAGGCGAGAAAGCGGCACAACTAACAAACCTAGACGTATTTAATGGAATCAAAGCTCTCAATCTCACAGATTCTCCACTTGCACACATGGGTGGAGGGAGAGTACATGAAGGTGGGTCCCCGAGCCATCTTTACTCAGGGAAAAATGGTTAAATTATGTACAATAGAATTAGTGTATCTAATTGAGAATAGTTAATCGAGATATCTTATGTTTGAATCTTGACAATCTCATTGGTTAAGATTCCATATGGTGTTCAGATTTGTGCAAACTTTAATTCCATATAAGTTAACTTTCTTGTGAGGGGTATGTTAGTAATGGTATAAGATATATTATTTAACATCTTCCAACAACTCTGACTATTGATACTAAATCATTCTTGACAAAGAGCAAAGTAAACGACTAACTAAATCATGAATTAGTGTTTGGTATAAAATTCATTATTAAACATCTCTCATCAACTGGAGTGTTATTGATACTAAAAAATTCTTGACAAAGAAAATCACTCAAAATCAAATGATTAACTAAATCATGAATAATTGATTGGTAACACAGAATGATATTCTTGATAGTTTCAACTACTAATGTATTTTAATTTACCGAAATGTACCAAATATAAATTATATTGTGAATGATTAAAACGATTAAAAAAACTATTTATCATGTATATTTTTATTTCTAAATTGACCCATCATAAACGAAATCTGACTATGCTTGCAAGCAAGCAAAACCTGGCCAATCGGTCTATCAGTATCAGCACATATGGGAACTCTAATCCCTTACAACCCGTTTGGATACAATTCTGGAAGAAATGGAAATGGAAATAGAATTTCATTTTTTATTTTTATAGAATTTCATTTTCAATTCTAGTGTATGGTATTATTCCTACAACTATGAAAATGAATTGCACTTTTAACCATAATAAATAATGTAATATGTTTGTTTTATTTTGGAAAATGAAATATGAATGATAGAGAAAGAGAGTAAAATGATAGCGTGTCAATAAAATAATAAAAAGTATTAATGGGCCCCATTAATTTCATCTTCATTCTCTCAATTCCTATCACTTTTGATAGGAATTTTAATTCCCAAATTTTAGACCCAATGGAATTGGAATTAGATTGGTTGCTAACCCCTTAAGGAGTTAGCACCATACTAACTTCTATAATAACCATTAGCATAAAATAATTATTCTAGGGTCAGGATTAATTCAAGGATAGTTTAGTAATATTACATAAAAACCCTCATATAAAAACTCAATTATCACCGCTCCTTCAACCCATTGCCACTCAACTCATTCCCTCTTTCCTCACGAACTGCCTTTTCACTTCACCACCTCTCTCTACAGAAACCGTCGTTGTGGCTATGAAGAACGTCAACGAGGCGCCCAAAGAGACAGACAACGACAAGAGAAGACGGGTATCGGATAGAGGAGGCAGGAGGAAAGCAGCGACAATGGCGATCGAGGCATGAGGCGACGATTCGCCTCTTCTCTCGCCCCTCGCTACACCAACCATCACCTTCGATACCCTCGCATGCGCCATCCTCACCTCCGCCAGCTTCGTCGCAGCCAGTCTTCCCACCACCACTGGCCCCCAACGGCTCACCATCCCAATCTCTGCAAGTCGCAAGATGAAGCCCTTCAAATGGGAAGAGCATGTGAGGAGCCAAAAATAGCAAGAAAGTGATAGTATGCGCGAAAGGAAAGGTTGCCAGATCTGTAACATTTGTTCGATTAGTAGTGATTTTGATTAGTATTAATTGTATAACCGTGTTTCTCATATGTATTAGTAAAGATTTTTATTGTCAAGAGCTTGTTATTTTTTGGTAGTGTTTTTGTGTTCTTTTATTTGTTATAGTAGTATTTTCTTCATTTACAGTAGCCATTCTTACAGAAAATTATCAATCACTGCGGATTAAAAACTACTACCAATAATAATAAAATCATGAAATTACTACTACAAACCACCAAAATCACTATTACTAATATCAAAATAACTACGGAACTTTATAAAAACATTACAATAGACCATCGAAATCGCTACTAAGTTAGATGGTTTTATTGTTTTCCACGTGAAATAAAATCTAGAGAGATTGGATAGAGGTAGAGAAGAGATATTTAAATTTAATTAATTTATTAATTTTAATTTTCTAAAATACCAAATAAGCCCTTCATTAATTTTAACCATCATATTTAATTAAAATTAATCAATGGTGATTAAAGTAGCTAGTATAGTGTTAACCCTTATGAAGTTAGCACCCTATGTACTCCCGATGGAATTCAATTCTCAACCTTTTAATTATTTCATATATAATATATGAAAATGGAATTGGAATTCCAATTCCTTACTTTTTTATCAATCCAAACAGACTTGATCTTTGGATGGGTCTTTGATAGTTCAGCTCGGTCTGGGAATAGAGTTTCAATTACCCAGAGCTTGCAGTTTGGGGTTTAAGGACCTTGAGAGAACCAGAAGATCTCTAACGAGCATGTTCTCTCGTTGCCTTTGCAAAATTGGAAAGAGTTGCCGCAAAAAGGATTGAGATTGTGGTTCCTACGAGGGTTCGGATTCAAATCAGAAGGTCGTTTGGAAGAACCATGAGTCTCGAGCGAGACCAAGAAGAACCATGAGTCGGCGGGACGAGTATGAGGATGCCTGGGGGCCGTAGCATGATGCAAGTAGCTATCAAGGGCATCACTGCACGGCTACACCCGCTATCTGTAGGTATGGTGGATTGGTTGTTACGGATCCAATTATGAGGGTGATGGAGACCTGGTGTTCTGGGTTAAGCCACTAGCCATTGAGTTTCCAAAATTCAATGGCCAGGGGGACGAGGGGTGATGGTTGTATGCAACTAGCAGGTGGTTCAAGAACCACGATATGCAAGAGGAGAGAAAAGCGTATCTAGCGTCTTTCTATCTAGAGGGAGATGCAGTGCAGTGGTGGGAGTGGCTGAGCGGAGATAATTTGAGATGGAGACTCCCATCTCTAGGTCTCTATTTCTAAAGGAGGCTCGATACCAGTTCGGCAAGTCAGAGGGGTTGGCGCCAAAGCAGTTAGCAAAGCTGAGGCAAATGACAATTGTTGCTGATCTGGCTGAGTTCCTCAAGTTGGGGAACCATTGTAAAGGGGTTCCAGAAGAGACGTTGATAAGTTTGTGAATGGAGGGGTTGCGACCCGAGATTGTTGCTGCGGTGAGGGTTTTGAACCTGACTCGTTGAGGTATGCTTTTCCACTGTCAGGTCTTGTGGAGGAAGAGATTGCTAGCTGGAGGAGTACCATAGCGAGCTACCAGAGGCCGAGCGATGGTGGAGGATCGAGTCTGGCAGCTATGAGCAGTGGAGGGGAAAACACAAGAGGCTCAAGCGCAGGAATGGGAGCAGCTGTGCCGCCAGGACTAAGAGTTGTCCATACTGGGACCCGTACGCCACCAAAAGGGTTTGTTCATCTGTTACCCTCAGAGATCGAGCAAAAGAGAAGGGAAGAGAATTGCTTTAACTGAAATAAGAAGTTCATTTTCTTGCATCAGTGCGCGAAGCCGGATTTGATAATGCTCCTGGGACGTGAGGTGGACGAGGAAGATGAACTGGAGCTGAAGGTAGAGCGAGGCAAGACGGATCAACCTTGAGGGCAAAGTTGCTATCTAGGAGAAGGGGATGATGAACAAATCTTTTATAATTTATTTATGGATTATTTGGATATTAAAATGTGATGAATTTATTTGTTGCTTTAATTGTTGAAGAGGGAGTATTATCATTAGGTTATTATTTGGGTAGCAAAGGGCTAGTTATCGGTTACCCTAATTCTCTTTGTTTTCCTCTCTAGCTAGCCGACCCCTCCTCTCTTTTTCTCAAGGCTTCAACACTACTCTCTCTCTCTCTCTCTCTTCACCCTTTTTCAATTTTCCAATCCATAGATCAATCCCTAATTGATCTAAACCTAAATCCACAATTCTATCGCATTAATCGCATCCTAGATTTTCAGGTCTATAATGGCCACAACAGTAGATGTGGGAAAGGTCGGAGAAGGCAATATACGATGATTAGAGACTAGGCTAAAGGGGCGAGGGATGAACGATGGAGATTAGTTTTAATTTTTATCTTAAATATTTTTTAAGTGATATAGAAATAAAAAAATTAGACTTAAAATTCCATGTCACATGTTACATCACTGCTAACTAGTAATTCGGCTCAAATGTACACATTTTTTCCCCTCATTTCTTATTTGTTTAGCTTAGGGCCCGTTTAGTATTGTTGCTTGTTTTTGTTTCCTGTTATGTTTTAAGAAATTTTGAAACCCAAGAAAAAAAAAATCGTGTTTAGTTGGATTTTTATTTTTTGTTGTGAATCAGAGTTGCACAACAAGGCCCAAATTTGAGAAACAACAATTTATAGCTTTGGATCTGATTCTTAAACATGTTGCACACGGGATTCATACTGGTTGAGTACTTGATTTCATTAAAACAAACCAGTTTTCGAATCCCCACAGAAGCAATTTTTGTTTGTTTTTTAACACATATCACCCCCAAACCCTACTTACTTTCAGACGCCCCCAACCCCTCCATTTTCTCTCGAACGAGAGGCGCCACTCTCCCCACTCCAGCCATAAATGCCGGCCGCCTCCGCCCTCCCGACCCTCTGCCTCCGCCCTCCCGAGCCCCGCCTGCCCAGCTGTTGCCGCGAGCCTCGCCTGCCCAGCCGCCACTGCCCGACCCTGCCGCCGCCGCCACTCCGACTCCCCTCCATAGAGGCCTCACTCCGACTCCCCGCCATAGGTATGTTGACTTTTGTGGGATTTGCATAATATTGAGGACATATCTCTTTTTTCTAGTTTTTAGTTCTTATAGTAGTAAATAAACGCGTTTTTGTTTCTTGTTTTCAGCTTTCATGATTTTTCAGATTTATCAACTAAACAGGTTTGTGTTTTCTGTTTTTTTCCTGTTGTGGTTGTACATCTGTTTACACAACACAACTGCAACCACAACAGCAACAAAATGATACTAAACGGGGCCTTAGTATTTCATCATTCCTCGACATATTTCACGCTAGGTTGTGCTTGTTTTGATACATTTCAGGTCCTAGCACGTGTGAAAGGGTCGAGGACGAATTTTGGGATAATTAGAGTCAAAAAGTGCAAAAACCGAAGAAAAGTCCGAAGTCACTATGAAGTGAAGGCGTCCCAGGAAACAGCTGCAGTTCACGGGCGGACAAGGCAATTCAAGGTCTCCTAAGACCGTGAACTTGGACCACAAACTGTGAACATCGAGCAGTCCAGCGAGGTTCTGGAAGTTACTGACGACAAGGCAGTTTACGATCTCTAAGACCGTGAACTGGGGCCATTGACCGTGAACCCAGGCGAGTTAAGCGGTGCGTTCCGGACGACACTGAGCTCACGGACGTGTTTAGGTGTTCACGGTTGTGAACTGGCCATTGCGTCCGTGGACTGATCGCTTTCGGGCAAATATGAAGACAGCAGCGGGGAGAGAGAAGAGAGAGCTGGTTTTTGGAGAACTCACTCTTTTCTCTTGTGTGTTGTAGATCCCTAACTAATACTTTGTAATTACTTGTTTAGACAGAATGATTGTCATTGGGTATTGTTTAATTCAATGATTGAGGTATTATTCATGTTTTGTGCTTAGCATCCTTATGTTTGTGCATGCTCGTGCTTAGCAATCTAAGGGTTGTGCATGTTTTGGGCTTAGCATCCTTAGGTTTGTGCATGTTGGTGCTTAGCAACCTAAGGATTGTGCATTATTATGCTTAGCATCCTTAGATTTGTGCATGTTGGTGCTTAGCAATCTAATTAGCCACTTTAACCTAGATTAGAGAGAAAAATTCCCCTTTTAAGGGAGACTCAATCGAGTTGGTTTTCCTTTAGCTTTTTAAGCCACCTAACTAGGTTAATTTAGGGCAAACCTCATTGTTGAATTAAGCAAATTGGTTAAGCGCAATTAAGCCATCCAACCCTTCAGTTGAGTGAGGGAGTAAGTCAACCATCGATTGCCTAAACCGAGAGGGTCGAGTGACACGGCCTATAATTCTTACATCGGTTTAGCAATTGAGATTGTGGTCTACGACCATATATATATGCATCCCTCTGCGGTTCGCGGTTACCTTGCCCATAGCAATCGTTTCAATCGAACGAGTCACGGTCTAGTTAGGGGGAAGCAACTCCTGGGTGAAGCTATCTTAGTTAGCCTTTACCTTTATTTACTTTTCCTTGCTAGTTTAGTTTGTAGTTTTCTTAGTTTTAAAACCCAAAACCGTTTTTCTAGATAACAACTTAAGCGATTGAAGTAGGGGTACATGCACCGGCCCGAGTCGATAATTAAATACTTGCTCTATACTGCACCCGGCTAGAGTTTAAAAACTTGGACTCTAGTCGGGATTAATTTGTGGTGTAGTTTCGTGCGAGTCAACTAGATTTTTTGTTAAATATTAACGATCAGCTCTAATAGACTGTTTGGTACCAAATGATTCGAGAATTAATTTCATTTTAAAATGAATTTTTGTGTAAAATTCAATGTCAAATGAGTTACTGTGTAGATTTATAGGTGGCGGCAGGCATAATCTATGTATTGACGGCATGTAGAAGTATTTTATTTAATAAATGAGTATAATTATGTCATTCTATTATAATTTGTAAAATATTTTTGAAATTTATATGAAAATTTCATCTCAATTTCGCGGAATTGCTATAAGTAGTTCTAATTTCTTATAATTCAAAATTTAGAATT